TCAACGCAAAGCGCGATTCGATCATCTGTTTTGACGCCTTGTGCGATCAAGAAATGGGCTACCTTATTCGCCTGGTTATTAAGATCCGTATAGCTTAAAGTCTTCGTTTTAAACTTCACGGCTATCGCATTTCCGTTTCGTTCCGTCTGTGCCTCAAATATTAGGTGAAGAGAGCGTACTGGTGAAACGGTAACCGTCGTTTGATTCCAGCTGTGCAGTAGCATCGTGCGTTCTTCCGATGGCATCACTGTTAACGTTCTTAGCGGTTGTTGAGGCGATTGCGTTAAAGCGTTGGACAGTGATTCCAGAGCTTGTTTCATATAATCACAGATCCTAGCTGCAGAAATGGTTGAAACCACCTGTGTTGACAGGCACAAAGCATCGTCTGTGTCATCCAGAGACATGGTCAATGGGTAATTAGTTCGACCTTCACAGCCTAAGAAAGTGACTCCTGGGAGTGATGCAAAGACTTGGTCTGTCTTCTGATTATGGCGATAGTTGAACAATGTACTGAATAGTGATAAGCCAGCTGGAACTCCACTACAGCGTTGTGCCAACGACAGCGGAGCGTGTTCATGTGCCAACAACGCGCTTAGCCGAGAATGGGTGTGGCGAACTGCGGTAACAACGCTCGTCTCATGAATATCTATACGTATTGGTAGAGTGTTAATCATTGGCCCTAAAGCACCATCATTTTCTCCTTTTGCCTGTAAACGGCCAAGTAAAACAGTGCCAAAAACAACTGCATCACGTCCACTAGTTCGAGAAAGTACTTGTGCCCAAGCCAAATGACAAATACTAGCCAAACTGATCTGAAGCTGACGTGCATGTACCCTTAGCTGATTATTTAATGTCTGCGGCAACATGAGATTTGCTTCGTTGATCTCAGTTCCATCCGGACCAACATCACTGAGACCAAATGGCAAAGTTGGCTCGTCAATATCGCCAAGCATTTCACTGAAGAAACGTGTTTGTTCAGCTGGATCAATGCGTAATCGAGAATGAGCCACAACATTACGGAATGAAGTGGGAGCTGGCAACATTTCAATCCTTCCGTCAATGATAGCGTGAATTTCTACCTGCAATCTCTCCAGCGTTGAATGGTCAATAATGGAGTGATGCACCAATTGCAGTGCCACCCAACTTCCTTCAGAACTTGGTGAAACATATAGACGCAATAGCGGCGCCTGTGCCAAGTCTAAACGATAGTAACGTGGATCAAAGCGGTGGCTCAACTGATCTAATACCGATTCACCAGTATCATCCAAGGTGATCTCGCTAAGTAGAGGAGGAACTTGGCGCAAAACGACTTGCATCGGCTCAATAAGACCTTCCCAGATAAACACGGTACGAAGGATATCGTGCCTCCCTATTAACTTTTGCAGAGCATCTGCATAGCGTTCAAGTGCCACCCGGTCAGTAAATTGCATACGAATTGCTATCAAGTACGGATCGCTCTCTTCGGACCTCAAATGATGGAACAACATACCATTCTGTAATGGCGTTAATCCATAAATATCTTGGATATTCGCCACTCCACCAGGTACCTGTGCAATGATTGCATCAACCTCTGCCTGAGAAATAGTGATAAGTGGTAACATTTCTGGAGTAATAGACGTACAATCTGTAGTAATGAGATTGGGTGGAATAGACACTGTCTTATACCGAACAAGGGTCATGGCAAGCATGGCCAGAGTGAGAGAATCAAATACTTCCCGTACAGTGGTGTCCAGACCGACCTGTCTTAACTCCGCTAACAGCCGAACGACCAACAAAGAATGTCCTCCCAACGCAAAGAAATTGTCATGCCGGCTGATGCGTTCAATTCCAAGCAGGTCAAGCCAGATATTAGCCAGTTTCTTTTCCATTTCACCCTGTGGAGCTTCATACTGTTGATGGACAAACGCTTCATCGTCCGGAGGTGGTAGTGCTCGTCTATCTAGCTTGCCATTGGGTGTGAGTGGTAATGATTTTATACAAACGTAAGCCGCTGGTACCATATACTCAGGCAATAAGCTTAATAGATAGGTGCGTAGATTTTGGACGAGAGATGTATCCGTATCGGCCACCACATAAGCTACGAGACGAGCATCCGATCCATTTCCATAGGATTGTACCACAGACTCGTGCACCTGTGGATGTTCCACTAAATGGGCTTCAATTTCACCCGGCTCAATTCGAAAACCGCGAATTTTTACTTGTTGATCTGTGCGTCCCAGATAAACTAAATTACCATCAGGCAAATATCGTGCACGATCGCCGGTGCGGTACATGCGTGCTGTTGAATCATCACTGAATGGATCGGGTAGAAAACGTTCTGCGGTAAGTTCAGGCCGATTTAGATAGCCACGTGATACACCAGTACCGCCAATGTATATTTCTCCCTCTGCTCCTAACAGCACTGGCTCGCCATGTGAATCCAACAGATAAATTCGCTTGTTTGGTAGCGGGCGACCGATGGGTATCAGCGAGTTATCAGAAATTATTTTATCACAGATCCAACTTGTCGTAAAAATAACTGTTTCAGTGGGACCATACAAATTGGCCAAGACTGTTTGTTTCTTAGCGTGCTTTGCATTCCAATCCCGTAATATCAATGGATCCACAGCTTCACCAGCAAGGATTACATATTGCAATCGATCTGGTCGAGAACTGATATTTTTTGCCCGCATGAGCATTTTGAATGCCGATGGAGTTTGATTTAATACAGTAATACCTCTGGCGCAGATCCAATCATAAAAATCATCCGCAGAACGAATGGTATTGTATGGCACAATCGACAGTTGACTTCCATAGCATAATGCTCCCCATATCTCCCATACAGAAACATCGAAAGAAATCGAATGGAATAAACACCACTTATCCGGTGAATTGAAATTCAATTTGTCGTGTACAGACAAGACAGTTTGTACTACATGGTGATGTTCAACCATCACTCCTTTTGGTGTCCCTGTTGAGCCAGATGTGTAAATAATATAGGCCAGATGGTTTGGAGTGAGTGCAAGTTTGATGGCGTCTGGATTATCAATCGATGAATCAGCAGACAACGGTTGATCCAAGTCAACTACTGATATTTTATGTACTCCGATTGCTTTTCGGCCTTCAGCATCTACCAACAAAACTATAGGGTTCGCATCCAGTAAAATATTGGTCAGTCGTTGGCTAGGATAGGCTGGATCGAGCGGTACATATGTGCCGCCAGCTTTTAGAATACCTAAAATTGCTATTATCATTTTTATACTGCGATCAACGCAAATGGCGATTAGATCGTCTGGTTTAACGCCTCGTGCTATGAGGTAATGCGCCAGTTGATTGGATTGGGTATTAAGTTCAGTATAGCTTAGAGTCTCACCCATACACTCTACGGCGATCGCTTGTCCGTCGCGTTCCACCTGCGACTCAAATAATTGGTGAAGACAGAAGTCGGGTGAGTCGGAAACCATGGTTTGATTCCAAGTGTGCAGCAGCAATGTGCGCTCCTCCACTGGCATTACTGTCAATGCTCTAACTGGTTGTTGAGGCGATTGTGTTAACATATCAGCCATTGATTCCAGGACGTTTTCCATATAGTCACAGATTCTAGTTGCTGAAATTGATGAAATTACTTGAGCCGTTAGACCCAAGGAATCGCCATTATCTTCAACCGAAAGGGTTAATGGATAATTAGTTCGTTCTTCGACCTCTATGAATCTGACTCCAGGAAGTGTCGCAGTGACATCATATGTCGTCTGATTATGGCGATAGTTCAGTAATGCGCTGAATAATGGAATGCCAGCTGGAACTCTGCTGCAGCGTTGTACCAATGCAAGTGATGCGTATTCATGGGCTAACAACGCACTCAACCGAGTATGCGTATTTCGAACCGCGGTCTCGACTCCCGTCGCATCAATGTCTATACGAATCGGTAGAGTATTAATCATCGGTCCCGTGATACTGTCATTTCCCTTTCCGTCCTGTAAACGACCTAGTATCACAGTTCCAAAAACTACAGCTTCATTTCCATTAGCTCGAGCAAGTACTTGTGCCCAGGCTAAATGGCATATACTAGCCAGACTGATTTGAAGCTTTCGTGCATGCGCTCGCAACTTATCATTGAGTGTCTGTGGCAGTTCTATGTGTACTTCATTGATTCCATTCCCCTCCCGGCCAACGTCACTTAAACCAAATGGCAATGTTGGCTCGTCAATATCACCGACCATATCAGAAAAGAATCGAGTATGTTCAGCTGAACTAACTCCAAGCCGAATTTGGGCAATAAGATCACGGAATGATTTAGGCGCTGTCAACTGGTCCATTTTTCCGTCCATGATAGCATTAACTTCGACCTGTAGTCTCTGCAGTGTTGAATGATCAATAATTGAATGGTGCATTAATTGCAGTGCCATCCAACTTCCATCGGACGTTGGCGCGACCAACAAACGCAATAGAGGTGCTTGTGTCAAGTCCAACCGGTAGTTACGTGGATCAAATCGGAGACGCAACTGATCCAATACAGGTTCACTGGTATTATCCAATGTAACTTCGGTGAGTAATGAAGGAACTTGGTGTAATACAACTTGCACCGGCTCACTGAGACATTCCCAGATGAAAACAGTACGCAAAATATCGTGTCTCTCAATCACTCGTTGTAGGACGGCAGCATAACGTTCAAGTGCCACCCGGTCAGTAAATTGTATAAGGCTTAACATCAAGTATGGGTCACCACGTCCAGCTGTTATATGATGAAACAACATACCGTGCTGTAAAGGGGCTAATCCATAAATGTCTTGAATATTCGCCACTCCACCAGGTATCTGCGCGATAATTATATCTATCTCTTTCTGAGAAAGAGTGATGAGTGGTAACATTTCCGGAGTAATCGACGTACAATCTGTGGTAATTAGATTGGGTGGAATAGTCACTGCTTGGTATGGGCTAAGGGCTACAGCTAAATTAGCTAAAGTGGGGGCATCAAACACTTTCCTTACGGTGGCGCTCAGTTTGAGCTGTCTCAACTGTGCCAAAAGCTGTACGACCAGAAGAGAATGGCCTCCCAGCGCAAAGAAATTGTCATGTCGGCTGATATGTTCAATGCCAAGCAATTCACACCAGATATTGGCTAGTTTCTCTTCCATTTCATTCTGCGGAGCTTCATAGTGCTGACGAGCAAACGCTTCATCATCTGGAGCTGGTAGTGCCCGTCGATCTAGTTTGCCATTGGATGTGAGCGGTAGAGAAGGTAGACAAACATAAGCCGCTGGTATCATAAAATCAGGTAACAAATTCGATAGATACGTGCGCAAATCCTGTGCTAAAGATGTATTCACATCGGCCACCACATAAGCCACCAGACGAATATCTGATCCATTTTCATATGATTGTACAACCGCCTCGTGCACTTGAGGATGATCAACTAAGTTGGCTTCAATTTCGCTAAGTTCAATTCTAAATCCGCGGATTTTTACTTGTTGATCTGTGCGCCCCAAATATACCAAATTTCTATCAAGCAGATATCGCGCTCGATCACCGGTGCGGTACATTCGTGCTGCTGGATCATCACTGAATGGATCAGGTAGAAAACGCTCCGCAGTAAGTTCAGGCCGATTCAGGTAGCCACGTGCCACACCAACACCACCAATATACAATTCTCCATCGGCTCCCAATGGCACTGGCTCGCCATGTGAATCTAACAGGTAAATTCGCTTGTTAGGCAACGGACGACCGATTGGTAAGAGTGAGTTTTCAGAAATTTTGTTATCACAGATCCAAATTGTTGCAATTAGAGCTGATTCGGTTGGACCATACATATTGACAAATACTGTTTGATCTTTGGCGTTCTTTTCATACCAGTCCTTTACAATTGACGGATCTAAAGCTTCACCACCAAAGAAAACATATCGTAGTTGATCGGATCGCAAACTGATATTTTGTGCACGCATAAGCATTTTGAATGCTGAGGGTGTTTGATTTAGTACACTAATACCGCTAGTACATATCCAATCATAGAATTCGTCCGCAGAACGGGTGGTATCGTGTGGTACAATCGACAGTTGACTTCCATTCAATAACGCGCCCCATATCTCCCATACAGAAAAGTCGAAAGAAATCGAATGAAACAAACACCACTTGTCTTCGTGGGTGAAACCGAGTTTTTCGCGTGTAGCTTCAAAAAGACGTACGATTTGTTGATGTTCAACCATTACTCCCTTCGGTGTTCCTGTTGAGCCAGATGTGTAAATAACATAGGCCAGATGA